TAAAAAGTGGTAATGTAAGATTTTGGAATTCAGGGTTCCTTTTTGGGTAGTGTGTCACCTTTAATACCGTCAAAATATACATTTCTGCCAGTGCCATCTGTATATTTGTTATTACTGCACCTGGGATTTCGCTACTGGCTTTCACCTTCATACTTAAAATCGAGACATGAGCTCATAGTTATTGCACCGATGTTTTGCTAATGCTTGTAGAACTTGTATCAGACCAGACAAAATCGAACTAAGCCATGCGACACTCGACAGTGACCCTGTATCAAGCGTTCGATTACGGACGATCCGCATGGCGTCCGTATTCAGGGGTCCGCCTGATGAAAGACGCCGTTGTTCCATTTTATGGCACACAGATGTTACGGTCGGTCCTTTGGCAATGGGCAGCAGTGTGGAGGCTGTGAGGAGATCGGTTGGACGTGGGTGTTCGTGGCTGCTCTGTTTCATCTACATAGGTATAGGCAAGGTAATGAAAATGTTTAACTTATTTTGTTGCATCAGTAATACTTATGAACTCTGAGTGTTTTTAAACTAGTTCAAAGCCGGACGCAAGTGTAAGCTTTTAAAAGGACTATTGTTCAAACAAATCGTGGAAATTAAGAAGAAATTTAGGTTAGCTAGGCTTCCAACATTTTGGTGTATACCCAAGACATACAAAGCAGGCTTATACCGTACTTATGGGCTAATTACCGGTTATTATTTCAAAACAGAAGGGTAATGCATGAGTAACGTGCAAGTGCCTATTGCCTACCAATTCTCCAATAAAAAGCGATTCTTATTTCAGTAACGTCACACCTGCCTTAAAATGACTCCCGAATACTCGAGATAAAGCGTTTCTTACGAATTTTGTTAATTTCAATGCTGCCGTCGTTCCGGACACCATTCCCCCTCCCTCCCCTGCCGTCCGCTCGCCCGGTCCGTCCGCCGGCCGGGCCGGGCGTCCTTCGGGGTCCGATTTTCAAAGCAGGTGGCGCTCCTGCCGGCCCGAGGCCATCAGCCGCCATGGCAATGGCCACCGTTGACAGGGGGCAGAGAAATGAGGAAATGAAAGGGATTGAATTGGTTACTGAAATGAACTTAGCATAGATAATAAGAACGTCATATCGCATTTCCCTACTATTTTAAAGCATAATTGACAAACATAATAATAGATAAATGCTGAATCTGCCATGAAGATGCTGGTATGAAAATAAACCAAAATGAAAGTAGCATTATTACAATGAAAAGGCACCAATGTCAGGCTTTGATTGTTTCAAATCATTGAGATGCACGCGCATATGTAAACTGCTCCATGACCTTACCTGAAAAGTGCAGATGGGTGCTTCTTTAACCACCAAGATTGAATACCTTCCTATTTGCAATATGATGACTTTGCAGCATTTGCTCCTCATCTCAATCTCCAACAGAAAGGTCAGGAATAGTCCCCATACTAAAGGCAAATGCTTGTTGTTGGCCTGCATATGAGGCTCTTCACTATAATCTGCAAATATCAAACCATTTTTATTGTAAAATGAGTACATTGAAACAAGTTTTAGGCATCATGGGCTGATGCTATAAGACAAGAGACTATTTCTGAAGTCCAAACATCAAGCCTTATAAATTACAAACCTATGGTTTATGAATACCTTACCTACTAATGACTAATTTATTTTGAATCCTTAAAATTCAAAGAATGAAAGTTCAATCAACAACAGACATCACTTCAAGGGACCCTCCCACCTTAAAGGGACCCTCCCACCTTCAAAAAAGTTCATGAATTGGCATGAAAGTGATGTCGCTCGGTTCAGAAAGAGCGAAAACGAATATCTACCAAATTTCATCGAAAAATATTCACCGGTTTTCAAGATATTAGACTTTTACTTTTGTTTACTTTTTGGGATCTCCGCTGTTTCTAGCGACTTTATTTAAAAGTGCGGCATTTGTTGCGCGCAACGCAGCATATACCACCGCGTGCTACAAAACGTTTTAGTCAAACGTTTAAAAATCGTTAGATATCTGCGCTGACGTCACACATTCAGAGGGGTATTCCTATGCACTAGCCCCTCTGAATCAAAATGCTGCAAGTTTGAAATTCAATATTTCCGATTTAAGGCATTTCTCGATGTTGTGAGTGCCGAAACTGGTAATTGTGAGCCAGGGACCCCATTTTGGCTATCTCAACTCAAATCTAATGTTAAGGTGGGAGGGTCCCTTTAACATTAGATTTGAGTTGAGATAGCCAAAATGGGGTCCCTGGCTCACAATTACCGGTTTCGGCACTCACAACATCAAGAAATGCCTTAAATCGGAAATATTGAATTTCAAAATTGCAGCATTTTGATTCAGAGGGGCTAATGCTGAGGAATACCCCTCTGAATGTGTGACGTCAGCGCAGATATCTAACGATTTTTAAATGTTTGACTAAAACGTTTTGTAGCACGCGGTGGTATATGCTATTTGCGCGCAACATCTGCCGCAAACGCCGCACTTCTAAAATAAAGTCGCTAGGAACAGCGGAGATCCCAAAAAAAGTAAACAAAAGTAAAAGTCTAATATCTTGAAAACCGGTGAATATTTTTCGGTGAAATTTGGTAGATATTTGTTTTCGCTCTTTCTGAACCGAGCGACATCACTTTCATGCCAATTCATAAACTTTTTTGAAGGTGGGAGGGTCCCTTTCAAGTTGTCTGATCATTTCAGCCTGCTTCTGAACTTGTGAATAAATTTAGTTTTGAAAGGGAAATGGTAATTGTTTTGCTCATAGCTCAACCTGATATAAGCAAATGTGCTTGCTGCTAGAGCTCCTTTTGCTGTCTTCATCTGTCATCAAACCAGCAAGATTGCCTAAGTGATGGGAATTTTATTTTAGCAATTTAATTGTAAAATATTTAGATTTAGATAAATGATTGCTAGTACAGAGGATTTACAATCCATACAGAACCTGTTCAAATATGATGTTTGGGATAACATTATCTTTATATTTCCTTTTAAAGTATTTGTAGATGTAACAATGCAATCAATGTATTGCACCAACTTTACATGCAGCCATGCTTCAGTTCAGTTTAGACCTAAATTCTGAACTGTTAACCATGGGAATATAAAACAAATGAAAGAAAAACGATTGTTTCTGCATTAGCCAATATACATCAATCACAATGGATTTTCTACAGTATATAATATACTTTTGCTTTAAGACTCCACTATTTCCTCTTACCTTGTAGATTCAACTGGTATCTACCGTCGCTTCAAACACATTACTCTCGCTTCTATCCCAACGGCATTTTCAGAAGCTGCGCCGCGTTGTCACAAGTGCGCAGGATTCGTGCTAACGTTTTAGCTACTGAAATTTTTTCGTGTCTCCGGAGACAGCCGTAAGGTCTAGTTTAGCGGCAAGCGGCAAAGAGAATCGTCTTTATGGATTCGGCGGCCGGCTCTGAGTCATCACCTTCTTGCCACCTTTTGTCTCCGGTGTCTCCGGAGCAGCCAATGGATGGTGCTATGAAGTTCTCGCAATGAACTGAGATTCGATATAATTGAAATTTTCGCGTGCATGAGAGAAAAATGAGAAGAACTTTGAACCAACAACGAGAAAGGAGAATAGGTAAACTGAAAGTGGTTGTGTCTCCGACAACCTTCCTTTTTGGAAAAACTCTGTCTCCAACACCGGTTGGAGAGTTGGCACATTTTTTCACCTCTGGCGGTTTACCGCAGGTGGCTTCTGCTCATACTTTGTGGTGCGGTGGTGGTGCGTCGGGCCGCGCGCTCTGACTTCGGTCAAGAAAAATGCGTCAGCTGATCATTGTCATTTCTGCCACTTTCATGTGGTGAGATGGGGTCATAACTTTAGAGACGGCTGTTTCATATCAATTATTTTACATAAAATAATATTTCAAACCATAAATTAATGTTCGACAGCCAAATTAAAGAAACAATACCAATACAGGCTTACAGTTTAAATTCGACATTGTGTTGTCTACGATTAGACAGCTGATAACTCATTCCCGTACGTCGTAACTCTATAATGACCTTTGCTTATTGTCACATGTGCGCCGCATTCGCGATTGTTGCCGACGCCTGTTTGCAGGTCAGCCCACTACAGTTGTTATAATATCGAAAAACCGATACACTTTTAGGCGAAAAAAGCACTATTTTAGGCCCATTTTTGATTTTTTTTGCGATATTAGGTAAAAACAGAAGCTTCTTATCCCAGGAAAAATAAAATGGGAAATCATTGGAAGGTGGCACACTACCTTTAAAGCAAACTTTTCCTCATAAAATTTGTTAAGTTTTCTTGTTGTCGAAAAACCGCATCGACAAAGCTGGGGGGGGGGGAGGGGGAGGAAGGAGCATTTGCCCCATATGATCCCCTGGATCCGCCAGTGACAAGAACTGGCACGTGAAGATATGCAGAATAACACCGCGACTACAATCAATAGATGTCTAACGTTTTTTTTTTTACCGGACCACCAGCCAAGGCGACCAAATACAGGAACCGAGGGAAACATGGTATAACAACGCTGTTAGGTACTTACCTACATCTGATGATCTAAATGCCTATGTAGGTATATACCTAGTTACCCCGTACTCGACCGGAATGAACATATCTCTTTTGGAATAAGCGCTACTCGATCCCCTATAGGTGTCATCTCATTCCACGGGCACGTCCTTCCAATGTTTGAGATGACCCGAAAAGGCCAAAGGTGAAAACACGACAACAAATACCTATCGTAATTTGTAACTCTTGCCTTCTCGTAAAAACGGCGACAGTGAGCCCCTACTCCCAATATGCTTTTCGGGAGTACTCTAAACGAGACAGCCCTCACCATATAGCGTCAGCCGTCACAGCTCACAATAGGCATTGCACACATCTTACAGAACCTCCATCTTCGCCCAGGTTTGGTAATTTAGCAATCAACAGGAATTGGTCCGTGGTCGCAACATTTGAATTCCAAGGATAGAGACATTGGAATTGTTGTGCGTAACGTAGCAAATTCAAGTTCAGCAAAATGGCGAAGTAAATGTTAAACACACACTTTATTGAGATGTGAATAAGAAGCAAACATTGAGTAGGCATACTGCAAAGCATAACAAGAGTTTTCCTTGGTTGCTGGCAAAAAAGTAATTAACCATGAACACACGCGCGTCATTCAGATTGCTTTGCCAATAATTCATCGCAGACATTCCTGGTCTTCCGTCAAACAATCACGCCAAACGTTCTGGAAGTCAATCGACACCATACAATATGCCTGCATTCATACATGGCTGTAAAGGTAGGATGCATACACGGCATACAAGTGGATGTGTATGCATCATTCGAGCCAATAGGCTTGTCCGTGGACGGGCCATCCACAGCGTACACGTACATAAATAGATCGATGGAAAGGCACGCAGCCACTTACTCTCATTCCAGGGTCTCCGCAATGACCATGAGGACGCATGCTTTCATCTAAAACACATCCGGTGTAAATAATATTGACATTGCCTTTGAAGCTTGGTGCACATGGCGAAGCCATTACAGCCGCTGTCAACTTGTAATAGTCTTCCTGCTAACTTGATGGGCGTCAGTATATGATGCGCATTGGGCACTCCATGCCTCGGTGCACTGTTAGCCTCCTGTGCACTGTAAGCCACCGGTGCACTGTTAGCAAAATATACCCAGACGAGCCATCACCAATACGTGTTCCTGTTTGTGACTGGGTGGAACGTAGGGCGTGTGCAACACAGAACAATAATGTGGAGAATAAGACAACAAACGGTCCATGTGTGAGGCACGATGTGTTGATTATAACGGAGCACCGAGCACCGACCTTAGTACCCGCTGTTCTGATGAGTTGACGAACATAACAAACGGTCGTATGCCAATGGAAAGGAAAAGTCAATAGGTATTATGCGGATTTCTTTGGGCAGGACAGACGTACCTAATTAGTGAAGAAGACCGGAATAGCTATGAAATAAGGCGATTTGTGCGCACTTCTTGAACCTGATGACATCTTAGCCTTTCTCATAAACATTTTTTACTATTACTGGTGTATAGTAGAATAGTGATTTCAAGTTTACTAATCACTGTTGCCCTCTGTCTCATAAACAATAGTGAAAAGTAATTAGTAAAAGAGTAAAATTTCGAAGCTCAGTAACGCTTGAAAACGAGTCATGGGACCTCCGTGTGGAAGATATCTTTTTAATTTTATTTTGACCGTCGAAATGCGGTAGACACCGTTGCAGTTCTGGCTATATATCTTGGTAGCTAGACCAATGATCGGCACGGGACCAGCATCCACGTATCGATAATTGAACGAGCTATCAAATAACATCGGTTTATGCCATGAAGGAACCGGCGAATGTTTGATGAATCATGCGATTTAGAGATAGCTGACGCAACTAGATATTGTTTTCGATGGAAGGGGGTCAGAGTTTTTAAAGCAGGCCCCCACGGCACACCCACTTTTAAAATATTTCAGCATTCCGTGCGCTTCTTGCCATTAAGTTAAGGATCCCTGCAATCAAGTTGGCTTTGAATTTTGACCTAAATTGGCTCGAGCTCAATTTTTAATGTGGAGATTTATTTTGTTGCGACCTTTCGTCTGGTCACTAAAATTTCATTTTCGGTAGCTGCTTCATTTACAGAGCAATGCAAAGGAAATGGAAACGCCCCCAGACCCGGGCACTGGATTGGACTAGACTTTCCCTGGGTTGGATTTCCCTGCCTCGGCTAGCCTAGTCCGTACCAAATCTGTACGTGGCTTTAAAAAATGCCCATCACATTTCAGTTGCATGTATTTTGTTGTAGCTACATATTCACATGGTTATATCAAAGATTACAAACGCACAAGCCACAACCGCACAGACACTTACGTATCTACGACACATGGGCGAGAAAACAGATCTCCCACGTGCCGCCAGTACGGCCCAATATGAGCTCGTACGGGCGCTCCCGCGCCGCGGTCAAAGTTGCTATTTGCTCGTCGGCCTTCTCCTTCACACTGTGCAGTGTGCACGGTTAGTTATTTGAGCACATGACTTCGATAGCCGGCAGATCCCGCTCGTAGCTGACCGTCACTTACCTACAACGCTGCTTGTAGGTGGGCATACGAGAACGTCGCACACAATAGCCCCAGTGGATGGCATCACTGATGTAATGCATGACTCCGTCCGACCAACCGGAAAAGTCAATTCATTAGAAGATCCAGAAGTTATTTGATATGCTGGGGGAGGCATGCTCCCCAATAATGTGCTTCATTTTTGCTTCTCCAAAAATTTCTCGTAGTGTGATATATTATGCCTATTTGTGCTGTTTAAATCAAACTTCTTATAAAAGTTGTTGATTTCCCTCTCAATGCGAGGAAAAATGCGTAAGTTCGTACCTTTGGGCGCTGCAGAGGGGGACAAATACTCCAACGTGCCCCTCGAACCATCAATGGTCAGGGCGGTGAGCGCTATTTTGCTTCAAGTTATATCTATGTGTTCAGCACCCACAAAGTATTCAGCGTCGTATTTGTTTTGTACTCACAAGACCAATTACGTTTCTTTCACTTCAGGTTCAGGTTCAAGTAGTAGGATAATGTTGGACTTGCGTTTATTCCAAGGCTCTATAGGTTTATTCTATGCCGACATCGAAAATGCTTCGGTTACTGGGTCTTCCTTTATTATGTTTCAGTGATAGCCCGTTGTCCGTGTGTCTTGTCCTTTTTCAATTAATGTCTCTCCTTCAATGAAAATCCATCGCAGTTCACATTTTGAACGTTTTGAACATATCTCCACTTCACATTAGCTTGCTAGAAATACGCTTGACCTCGTTCAGTTTGCCAGGATGGAGAGCCAACTTTTCATATGATTTATCGTGAGGTTTTAGCAACAATAGATGTTTTTAAAGAAAAAATGAAGTTTGTTATTTGTCAATAAAAGGCTTATGCCGAAAACTCAGGGCATGCATTAAGACATAAAGTACAATTAAAGCTAAAAGCAAAACTCCTAAGCTGTTTTACTGCAAGGTAGAGCAAGGGTGAAATTGACAGCACGAAAGCAAACGTCATTCCAAGATTACTAGAACATATTCAGCACAACAGCGTCATTCGACTTTTTTACTACGGCACGTGCTTTTATGAAACACAACCCAGGATCTTCCTATACTGGTCACCAGTAAAACTGCGCCATAGTAACCTAGTAAATTTGCAACTCCAGGTAAAAGTAATTTTTGCTTTATGAAACAAAATTTTACTGGTCAACAGTAAAATCGTGCTTTTTACTATTACTTTTTACTAGACAAAGCTTTATGAGAAAGGCTACTGGAAGGGGCAATAAGATACTGTATATTGCAAACTTAACCCGGCCGGGCCCGGGGGGTAATCCCAACCACCGCAGCCCGGGGAGGGGCGTTTTTCGCCCCCCCCCCTGTCTAACTTCGTAAATAAGGGAGCTACGGAAACAAAAGCGATACCAAACGAAAGTTCCTTACGACACGATTCTAAAGCACCTAATAGTTTTGAACTCAGATCAATTTTCAAGGTCAGAGGTCAAGGTCAAATGCAAAAACCGGCACATGTGTATTGATCTCAAAGTAAGCGTTCTAGAGGACGGCAGGATGCATAAAACCGACAAAATTGGGTGTCAAACGAAAGAGGAGAATCTGAGGATGCTGTAAGTGTGCTCAAAATTAAAGTTCAAGGTCAAGGTCATGCTCAAACTTGACCTCAAACTTTGCACTTTTTCGTACATCTTGCGTGCTAATTTCCAAGATGTTTTGAAATGTTTTGAGGCTTATCAGGTCCCTATTTGTGGTTCATTCATCTTACGATACAAGGCTGCTCAAGGGTCAAGGTCACAGTAGAGTATCCTTGCTAGAGGCTATTTCACTGATTCAAGTTAGCAATAATAAATAAGACAAATTTGCCATTCGGAGGCTCTAAATAAAGGATTAGAGGAAAATGGATGCCAGATTCGTGATCAGCAAGTACGAATCCATCATTATCGACCTTTCATATGTCAAGGTCAACCAAAGGTCATTCGAGGTCACATGAGGTCAACATAAAACTTGACCTTTTCCAAACAAAATATATATCATTCGACGTGGCTTGACAAGGCGAATGCGATGGTACCACTGCCGTAGCTCTAGGGCCATTTTTGTCGAAGTTATTTGCGAAAAACTAAATCCACATTTCGGGGTCGTTGACCTGACCTCTGACCTCAGGTCACCAAAAATATTTTTCTATTTTTCTCTCGGTCAAACGCTACACAACCGTGTTCGTAATTTGTCTTTATCTCTAAAACTCTATTTTTAGCAGCTATTTGAAGTTCGCGTCTGTGATGCCGAAGTTTACCGTGCAGGGGTCTAGAAAAATCGAACCTGTGACGTCATCAAGGGGGCTAGGTCCAATTTTTTTACTTCAGAAGATTTCAAATTGATGGGAGAAAAGGTACTGAAAGTTTCGCTTTCCTATCCCAGTGGTCGATAAAACTTCCAACGTGCCAACGCTCGTTGGAGCAAGATATTAGCAATACTTGGAAGAGCTGGAGACAGTCCGCCCGTCTACATGGATGCTTCCTTACGCCTAAAATACAGCATTGACTTATGACTTTCTAATCGTCCGGTGCTGTTATCGGCTGCCCGCTGCTCGGTACCGCGTGTATGTTCCCTCATTCACTCCTGGTCACCCTTCGGTCACCCCTCGCTGGGTCGGGCCAGTCGGCTATTTTTATCCTCTTTCCGGCTAGGCCACCCGCTAAGCTCCCGCCGTGCCGCGCCGTCTGCGAGGGACCTGACCCTTCTGCCGGCAGAGGTTTCTCCAGGTGTCTCCAAGGAGCCATCGTAGCGCTAAGGGTGTGCTCCGCATACACATGCATTGATTTTCGCCCTTACTAGCAGGGCCGCTGGCACGCGTTGGCAGCGCCCCGCGGGCATTTTTTCGCTTAGGGTCATTTTGTGGTAAGGAGGATCAGAAAATCACCCTTCCAACTTTCTCCAGGCCTGGGTGTTTTATCGAGCGCGCCTGAAAACGCACAGTGGACCGGAATCACACTTCGATTGCGTTACTTCGTAGAAGGTAATACGATCAAAAGTGCGCTCTTTTCTCAATCAATAAGGACAAGTGCGTTAAAACACACTTATAAAGTTTTAAGTTAAAAGCTTTAAAATGCTAAATTTCAACATTTCTACGCTGATGATAATCGTTAGTTGTTTCAGACTTTGGCATGAAAACGTAGGCATTCAGATCCACCGTGTGACCGGTCACCGTACGCAGTAGTGTGATGGTGTGAGTTGGGGAGTCAAGGCCGTGTGGGGAGAAGGTGAGGAGATGCCGGTGTGCCGACGCGGCAATTGGCAGTGATTAGACAGTTGTGCATGCATTGTTCATCTAGCATATCATTTGCTTCGGCAAATTTATAGGCATGGCGCCTGTTTATCCGTCTAATTCAAAGGAAAGGTGTGAGTACCAATACTGGTCGTACTTTTCATAGTCATAGTCCAGGTCCTGAAATGACTGGCACTTGAAATTTTCAGGATATGTCGCAAGAGGCTCATTCCCAGACGTTGTACCAAATTTTGCGGCGCTACGCGACACCACCTTTTACAAAAAAAAACTTAGGGAGGCTGCATCCCCCCTCCCGCCAGGCGAGGGCTAAGTTGGAGACAGTGATGGGACTAAGATGTTCGTTGGAGCAACTCCAAGCATTTTATCGACCTCTGTATCCCTAAGCGTTCGGGAGCTATCGCAAATATTCGGCAGGGGGGGGGGCGAAAACGCCCCCCCCCGGGCCCGCGAGGGTTAACAAGCATTTTGAACGTCCTGGTAGTCCAAGGCTGTCCTGGAATAACGCATATGCCGAAGTCAAGTAAACCCAGGAATCGCCTATCAAACAACCAAGCGCATAACGCGCAAATTTTCCTCGACGGCCACGCGTTGCGTCAAGAACTTTACCGTCCCGTCGCGTCGGGCAATCTGAATCGGGAGCATTTTGATGCCAAAGAATTTAGCGTTCCCATTAGCCATACACGATTCAATCCGAACAAATGACCTCAACTGAGCGCGAGTGTTCTCACCAACCGCAGGAACAGCTCATCCCTGTCAGAAAGCACATGTGTCATGCCAAGCGTCGGATCACTGATCATTTCTCGGCAAATGTAGTCTATAAACATTTCATGGCACAAAACGATGCTCATTCTATCGAAATAAGCTCGACAGCGGACCTTGAAGCAGCCTCGCCTTAAGTTCACTGACATCGATAGGTACCACCTAACATGTCAGGACCCATGTAGATGGACCAAAGGTCCCTGTTATCTGATGACTATGCATTTGGTGACTTCTACTGTCCATCGTCTTCCGTACGTTGCTACTATAGCTGCCCCTTGCTGTTACTCTTCTACGCTTCGACCCTCGGCCTCTCCTCCTCATGCAGTGCTGGGTGCTAATTTGCCCACTCCCCGTGACTCGGCGGAATTCACCAAGCTGGTACTCAGGGCACTCAGGAGTCCTTTGAGACGACACGTGAGCGTAGACATTCATGGGCGATAATGCTTCGGAGCCAGTGGCGGAGCCAGGGGTGGAGCCAGTCTGGCGTTTTCCGATTTTGGGAAACAAGATCAATAGCTATACGGGGAATGGTACACTAATAGATTCTTAACCGGCAATAGAGGTAGTTCAGCAGAGGGAGGGCCACACAGTGTGTGGATATCTATTTGGGGCCCAGCCCACCCAGCTGGGCGCGCCCCTGACTCGTCGGTGGCGCCGGCGCGGATCCATCGTATGGGCTGGGAGCGGCGGCAGTGTGAGTCCGACCCCCAACCGACGACCGGCACCAGCGCAGGCCGACGAGCCAGGTGAGGGGCGCCAGAGGGCGGCTTCTGATTGACTCCAACTGGGAGCATTCCATACATTGGAGCTATTATGTACTAGTGTCAACGTCTGTCAACGTAGGGGAGAGTGGGGAAAGATGCCCAGGGTTTTACTATGTCATATATTATTCGAAAATGACGATCGGAAAGCAAAAACTTGGAGTTTCAACGGAAGCCGACATCATTTTTCTCCAAAAATATCACACTTTCGTGCTTGAAATATGATAACTTTTTTGCTATTAAGCATTTTCCTGAAGAAGTGAAAGGGGGCATCTTACCCCACAGGGTGGGAAAGACGCCCCCTGGCGTTGGGTAAGATGCCCCCTGCACTATAAGTGACATAAATGGGCACGTGAATCGCCTGAACGAATCAGTAGTCCCTTCGGGCCTGCAGTAGACACCAAACGTCATCGTAAGGGCCCTCAAAAGTAGTCGTAAGGGGCTTCAGAGGTCATCGTTAGGGCCATCATAGTCCAGCGCGGCCAAACAAGCCTCCGTGGTGGCGTTCGGAGACCACTGTGGGGCCCTTATAGGTCTTCATGATGCTTGAGGGCCCTCGAGCCCATCGTGGGGACCTCAGATGCCAGCGCGGCCCGTGGAGCCAACGTGGGAGCCCTCAAAGGATGTCGTGAGGGGCCCTGGAGCCAATAATGTGGCCCACAGAGGCCGTCGTAAGGGCTCTCAGAGTCAGATGCCGCCCAAAAAGTCGCTGTGTGGGCCGAGAGACCGGCATGGGGAGCACCCGACCGTACTGGACTCTCAAAAGTCCCAGATCGGCTTTTGTCTCTCATCACAGGTATGTAATAAATGATTTGACGGGCTGCTTGAAGGACAGCCTACGGATTTAAGGGGGCGTCTTTCCCCATCAGGACAGGGGGCATCTTACCCCAAGGTACCGAGGTAACATTAAATCAGTACAATTTGTTAGCCATAAAACTACACCCTGAAACAAACTGTTTGGGACACAGTACACGCATGTTAATTTATCACGACTATAGCAAGGGACGCAAAAATTATCTACCTTCTTTGATATTTAGAATGTTTTAACACCAAAATATTTTTTGAAAGCAGCAAATAAAAAACATGCAATCACCAGCCAGCCGTTGCCCAACTGAGCCTCGCAAATTTTTGTGCCGTTAACAAGGCAGGCTTCCGCTTAACGCTAAGAACATTAATTTCCAGGTTCGATTCTTTGTTTCGCCGCTAGAGGGGGTGGGGCGTCTTTCCCACCCTGGGCATCTTACCCCACTCTCCCCTAATGTCAACGTCTATTAACAACTAGTGTCAAAGATAACACATTTACATATATGACTATCGTCAACCATCTCAAAAGCATGTACTATTACTCATTCTATCGGTTTTCGCCGGTTCTATCGGTTTTCTACATGCGCCCTGACCAAGGGACAGGGGAGGGCGGGGAGGGTGTGTGTGTGTGGCGCGGGGTGGAACCATTCCCCTTGCCGTTTTGCTCCTAGTTGAGCTAGAGCTCCGCTACAAAAGCGAGAACGTGCGCCTTTACCGAGACGCAGCGACTAGTACCCGATTTTAAGGTCTCAGGTCAACCGGTTATCTCTAAGGTCAGGTCAAGTGCTCCGAGGTAGGGGTTCAGTTTGTTGGTGAATAACTTCGCCAACAGTGGTCCCAGATTTGCGATTTTGACACCATCATTTTCGCCATGGTCAGGCGCGTCGAATGATATACTTGGCTTGGATAAAATCAATTTAGGGTGCTGACTGTTGACGTCAGGTCAAGGTCAGGTCAAAGCTACTCAAGTCACCGAGTTGTTCGGTAGAGGTCATGATGCGTACATCCGGTTTATCAGGTCTTTATGAGTCCGGTGGTGGCTTTCCCGACTCTATAGTGAATTTGACCTGCAGTGAGTGACGAACACTTCCGATGTTTTTAGTAGTAAGAGTCTGTGACGCTATTCAACGTCACCAACAGCTTTCGGAAGCATGTCAACCCTCGCCAGGCAAGAGCCTTTTTCATAACCAATACTTTTTTCATGCAACCTTTATTTACATAGGTAAGCTTTATTGTATAGGTAAGCTTTATTTCGTAGATGATGACGGTTATCACAGGGGAGATGCAAAAAAATGCACATACAGGAGCCGGCTATAGACTGGTTCAGTACATACGTAGGCATTAATGTATTATTGTATTATATGTACACTACTGCAATCTGCACGCCACACATTTGGTACGACTTATCACAACTCAGTGAACTCTGGTTCAAGTGTCAAGACGAGACGACGCCGGCCTCTCTGCAGTGTCCTATCGACACGACAGGTAGTGGATGGCGATTGGGTAGCGTTATGAAATGCCGCTCTCCAAAAAATCACTGATATAGGATAGTGTTTTACGTTCATGGAGATAAGCCACTGAGCACCCACACAAGGACAACTTTGATATGTGTCCCAAAAATAGGGCATTATATTAAAATATATACAAACTTACCTATAATTGTGGGATGAATGGTGAGATTGTTTGGAAAAAAATGACCAAATATTATTTATAACTCACCGAGTTTCAAACCCACCAACGGTCATTTGAAGTCACCTGAATTTCTGAAACCATCCGTGACCTTTCATCACCATTTTTTTTTTAACGTCTTGACCGTACGAACTCATGTTGGTACTTATATGTAGGCAATTCAACTCTTCGACGATGTACTTATTCGAAAAAAACAGCTAAAAACAACAACAAAAATGAATACTTATCTCATTGACTTGAACTCAGACGGGTACCTACCGACGGCTTCGTGTTGTAAAAAGCAACTTCCTCTTTTTTTGCTGAACTGTAGGTACTGTATCTTTAGGGGCCCGAAGCAATAGGGATTGTATTCACCGTTCCTGTTTTACCGGTGAAATGATGCCGAAAGGCCAGTGCCTGCGAGGATCAACTGGATCCCTATTCAACACATGAGAAGTATTGACTCGGTGTTCATTCAACGACCCATGGTCGTCGGCCATTTTGAGATGCAGCACGCACGTGCAACTGCTAAGGCTCACCAAATATTTTTACATCGATGGTAGCACGAGCTTCCGTACCTACCTCTGATGTCAGCGGTCGTCAAAAAGTGGTCTGATGATCATAATTCAAATAAGGGAGAGTGTTTAACCCCTCCTCCCTCCGGCTTGGTGGAGACTTTCAAGAGTGCGGACCCTGCATGCAATCATCACGGGTGATGCCACTTCATTCATGCAACGTTTATATCACCTATCGTTTCACCCCATCATTGATTCATCAAAGGATATTTCATCTCACATTTTCAAGATAAAGTGCAAATAAATTACACATGAGTACCTAAAGTAAGACTAAAGCAAAGTGCAGGTGCTGCGCAGTCACTTTAACGGCGCACTGTAGCAGGTTAAGACCCACTCAGAGCACGCTGACTGAGGCTGCGTCTCTTCTGCAGGTCGGCTGTAAAATGGCGCCAACTAACGCGGCGAATGACGCCGCTGTCTCCTTCTCCATCAACAGCCAGCCACACAAAGGTAGGTACCTACCTACGGTTATTGTCATTCCTACAATACACTATCAACGTCAGCGGGTATGACTAGTAGGGGAGAGTGGGGTAAGATGCCCAGGGTGGGAAAGACGCCCCACCCCCTCTAGCGGCGAAACAAAGAAGCGAACCTGGAAATAAATGTTCTTAGCGTAAAGCGGAAGCCTCCCTTGTTAACTGCACAAAAATTTGCGAAGCTCAGTTGGGCAACGGCTGGCTGGTGATTGCATGTTTTTTATTTGCTGCTTTCAAAAAATATTTTGGTGTCAAAACATTGTAAATATCAAAGAAGGTAGATAATTTTTGCGTCCCTTGCTATAGTCGTGATACATTAACATGCGTGTACTGTGTCCCAAACAGTTTGTTTCAGGGTGTAGTTTTATGGCTAACAAATTGTACTGATTTAATGTTACTTCGGTACCTTGGGGTAAGATGCCCCCTGTCTTGATGGGGAAAGACGCCCCCTAAATCCGTAGGCTGTCCTTCAAGCAGCCCGTCAAATCATTTATTATATACTTGTGATGAGAGACAAAAGCCGATCTGGGACTATTGAGAGTCCAGTACGGTCGGGTGCTCCCCATGCCGGTCTCTCGACCCACACAGCAACTTTTTGGGCGGCATCTGACTCTGAGAGCCCTCACGACGGCCTCTGTGGGCCCCATTATTGGCTCCAGGGCCCCTCACGACATCCTTTGAGGGCTCCCACGTTGGCTCCACGCGCCGCGCTGGCATTTGAGGTCCCCACGATGGGCTCGAGGGCCCTCAAGCATCATGAAGACCTTTAAGGGCCCCACAGTGGTCTCCGAACGCCACTTCGGAGGCTTGTTTGGCCGCGCTGGACTATGATGGCCCTAACGATGACCTCTGAAGCCCCATACGACTACTTTTGAGGGCCCTTACGATGACGTTTGGTGTCCACTGCAGGCTCGAAGGGACTACTGATTCATTCAAGCGATTCACGTGCCCATTTATGTCACTTATAGCGCAGGGGGCATCTTCCCCAACGCCAGGGGGCGTCTTTCCCACCCTGTGGGGTAAGATGCCCCCTTTCACTTCTTCAGGAAAATGCTTAATAGCAAAAAAAGTTATCATATTTCAGGCACGAAAGTGTGATATTTTTGGAGAAAAATGATGTCGGCTTCCGTTGAAACTCCAAGTTTTTGCTTTCCGATCGTCATTTTCGAATAATATATGACATAGCAAAACCCTGGGCATCTTTCCCCACTCTCCCCTAGGTAGAAAATATTTGAAGTATAGGTACCTAATCTCAGTGTAAGGGCATGTGTTTGTGAAGTACGGTACGGACTGTGAGTTAAAATAAAATAGGACTTGCTACTGATAGTAATGGAACCTATCGTAAGTTTAAATTCAGTTAATATAATTTTCCAGATAGAAGGCAAATAAACAACTGTTTTCCAACGAATGTCCCAGGACAATAATTCTTTACTTAAATTTATGATAAGAATTTTAACGCAACTATTCTCTCTCGTGGCTCAGTGCTGAAGCGTGCGGCTGGTGATGACGTCAGCGGTGATGACGTCACGTCGACCACGACGCTGGCCGAGTACCTGCGGCGGCACCAGCAGCTGCCCGGCACAAAGACCATGTGTCGCGAGGGCATGTGCGGCGCCTGCGTGGTCAACGTGACCTCTGTGAATCCGGCCACCGGCAAGCCGGAGAGCCGCGCCGTCAACTCGTGCATGGTGCCGCTGCAGGCCTGCGGCAACTGGAGCATCCAGGTGACCCACTGCGCGCGCACCAACACACAGGCACACTGCACACACTCCATCGCGGCAGGTGGATTTGTTACTTCATCCTTATAGTTTAGGGGAAGCCGGGGGAAGCCCGGGCGCGGGGGAAGCCCGGCCACCCCGTTTCCGGCTAAATTATTCACAATAAAATGCTCAACTGTTTGTCCTTTCAGCGTGGCAGCTAAGGTAACGCCAGCAAAAAAGTTAAGGCCGACAAAAATTGCATATTGTTAAAGTTATAGCGCAAAAATGATATTTTAAGGGTTTTTAGCTAAAAAGTGAGATATGTTGCACTGCTAATGTTATACCATACAGTACTAATATTTATACGAATGTTATGTAAGGACCGTCTAAGTGTTTGTAGTGAGGGGTGACGAGGCAGGCTGGCTTAAGTATGACATTTTTTCGAATATCGCTGTTCTAAAATAAAAATTAGCACATTGGGGTAACCCCGGGCGAGTGGCCAAGCTTACCCCCAACCGAGAGCAATGCCACTAAACCACTGTTGTCCATGAGATGATAGGTACTGAGCAGGTTTGGTTTACACCTAGATCAAAGATAAATTTAGAAAATAAACATGTTATCATAGACAAAGCCAGTAATGTCACTTAAGGTCAACTAGGGTCAAAACTACGTTTTTGCAGATAACGCGACAGACAATGAAGCTAGAGCTTCAAAAATGGTGTCGTTGTGTTCTTCTTCATCAGCCGAGTCGAATGATATGCAATATGATGCATTTAGGTAAAAAGAAAAATAAATTTTAAGGAATTTTGAAATACACATTTTTTGTCAATTTTGCATCACGATTTTCATCGACCTGTACTGTATATGTGGTAGACGCTAGCTAAAATACCAGTAGTGACATAAACGCTAAGATGTCCAGAGCTTATCAGTACCTTAATATTTCACTTTCCGTTAATATTTGGAAGACACATAATGGTTTCATCAACTCGTTTTAAAGCGCTGGGGAGGTGGCCGGCGTTACCCCTATGCCGGGCTTACCCCAGAAAAATCAACGCTTTTTTAAAACTCGATTTTCTCAACCTTATACTTATTCCACGAAACCGAATTTTTGGGAAAACACGGCCAATGAACTTAGCTAGCTAACAGGATATCAACATTTTATACAGCACGTATGGTACCTATGTAATAAAAATCAAAAAGAGCTTACTATGCCGGGCTTCCCCCGGCTTCCCCTAATTGTTGACATTAAATTAGCGTAGTAGCCGAAATACGCTGCACAGTAAATCTACTGGTAACGATTTAAATGCTACTATCGTTGATGCTTGATCGCCATCACATATCGCAAATATCAGTAGTCCGCAGTACCATGAGCATGTCAACGCGAAGGAAGCCAATTTCAGCAGATTAACTATAATAATGCTGTTCGTCCTACGAACTACTCTGAAAGGACCGTATAATATTTTGGCTCAAACGTTTCAGACTGTGGAAGGAATCGGAAACAGAAAGGACGGCTACCACCCGGTGCAGGCGCGGTTGGCGCATATGAACGGAACACAGTGCGGCTACTGCAGCCCAGGAATGGTCATGTCTATGTACAGGTAAACAGCGGGTCACTACACTCATTGCGGCTACTGCAGCCCGGGAATGGTCATGTCCATGTACAGGTAACGGACTAAACCCAGGGCAGTTATGGAGTTCGTCAATGACTTGCACGCCGCAACTTTGGAAACGACCCGCTAGTACCTTACCGCTGGTACTTTATGGTACTTCATGGTACTTTATGTAACTGTCGTTAATTCTCACGAATGATTGAAACGTAAGCAAAACAAGTAAGCCAAGTAAATGTGATCGTGAGCAAAGTAAAAACATATGTTAACGTTCTATTTGATGAAGAAAAAAACTTGTATCGAAAACATTGTCCGAGCTTCTTAGATTACTGCGCTTGTAGTGCATAGTGCACAGCATCGTAAGGCCGTGTTCTGAGACGGTTGCGGAGGGATTGTCCAGAAGGGTACACACAGCTTGTTGCGGGCTGACAGTGCCACAACGTTGCCGCAGCCTGCTCCAGTCCAAGGGTCAGCCGACCCCGGAGCAGGTGGAGCAGGCGATGGACGGCAACCTGTGCCGCTGCACCGGCTACCGGCCCATTCTGGACGCCTTCAAAACGTTCACCGGCGAAACAGACGACAGCACCAAGAAACTCGTCAGGGATATCGAGGTGCCTCACAACTATTTTCCCTATTTGTGTCTTATGATAATTTATGCGATGAGATATCAGATTAACTTTCCTATATATTTTTCTTAATACCTTTTGTACGTCTGATGTAAAAGTAACGCATCATCTTTATCATCTGTCTAGATGAATGTTTACCAATAATCATCAATAAAGAATTTAGTGGAAATGCGTTAGCCCATGCTCAAACCAAACTTGCGAAACTCAACCCTTTTACGTATCCCTCTTATTTGTTTTTACCTGAATATCACATCAAATAACTACACTTCAAACGCATTATCATAAACACATCATAGCTACGCAACAAACCCGTGTTTCGATCTTTATGATCCACACACGGACGACCCCGGAGACAGGTGCTCCAGTGCTCTGTCGTTTCCGTGTAGGTCGGTAAAGGTAACCCATTGTTTGCCTTGCGCTCTCAGGAGGCGGCTGGCTGTCACGGCAGCTCCGGTGCCAACTGCAAGGGCACGTGCGCCGGCTGTCCGCGTGCCCGCACGGCGCTCACCCCTGCTGGCAGCACGTGGCGCGTGCCGAGCTCGCTGCCGCAGGCTCTGGCCGACCTCAGCGGCCTCTCGGTGGGCGGCAAGACCATCCGCCTGGTGGCCGGCAACACGTCCACGGGTAAGTGTCGCCATTGCCAGGGTGGGAAGGTGAGCCTCCCAACCAGATACGAACGTCCTTTTTTACTTTACTTCAGGCTGCTATAGGCAAGAAACACATGTATGAAGAAGAGTGAAACAGTGATATCACTATTTCTATGTGCTCTTAAGACAAAGTGTGAAGTAACAGTTAGCCACGAGCCCCGTAACGCATCACGTCGAGCTCACGTTGCCCGGTCGCTGCGACAGGCGTGCTGGACAAGTACGAGGCCCCGGCCGACGGGTACGTCTCGCTGCTGAAGATCCCTGAGCTGCGCGAGGTGACCGGCCCGGAGCCGGCGGCGCGCTCGGGCCGCTGGAACTCCTCGGGCGCAGTGTTCGGCGCCGCCGTCACGCTCTCGCAGCTCATCACCGAGCTGGAGAAGCTCTCCGGCTCGGCCGGCTACCGCCACTGCGCCGAGATGGCGCGCCACCTCCGCCTGGTGGCCAACACGCCCGTCAGGAACGCCGCCACCTGGGCCGGCAACCTGATGATCAAGTACAAGCACCGGTCGTTCCCGTCCGATGTCTTCCTGCTGCTGACCGCTGCCAGAGCCACCCTGAAGATAGGTTAGTGCCGTATTTCGAACATTTACTGCGGTGTGCGTCTGCATAACACAATGTGAACGCTCAACAGTCACCATAATGTCTGAATGAAATCACCAGCAATGGAATGGTGTTTATTGCTGCATTGTGGACATGTGTAATATAATTTTATTACGTCATTGCACAATGTGTGCTCTTCTGACTGACTATTTGCATATTCTGTCAGCCGAGGGAAGGAAGATGGAGGAAATTTCCGTGGAGAAACTGTACGAAATCAGCATGGCGAACAAGATCATCATCTCGATGAAGCTGCCCGCCCTGGACGACAAGTACATTTTCAAATCGTATAAGGTTCGTGTGTGGCCGTATGTTGTTTGGAATGTACCGGAGTGTATTTACATGATGATTCCTAATGCATTGCGATAAAAAATATCAAGGGTCAAAACACAGCTACATACGTCGGTGATATGTTCATACGTTGGCGGTTTAAGACAGCGGCAGCGTGTTCCGTCTCCTTCAGATCACTCCGCGGGCCATCAGTGCGCACGCCTACGTGAACGCAGCGTTCGTCGTGCCGTACGACTCCGCCACGGGGAAGGTTACCGAGCGTCCCACCCTGCTGTTCGGCGGCATCAGCGGACAGTTCGTGAGTAGCTACAGGCGGAGAAGGCGGACGGTCGTCATTCCGTTGTGATACCTTATCACCGACCTTCGCATACGTGACTCGTATAGCGTGTAGTGTGCACAAATCATACGTTTTCCATAATTGTCTATGGACCAGTGTTCTTTGCATCAGTAACCCCTAGATGAGTAGCCTGTTCATCAGTAGCATGGCCATCAGTGACCTGTTCGCCAGTAACCATGGTGACCTGTGGACGCGTGACTCGTATATAGATCAGTGACTACTCCTGTGCGGGCAGGTTCACGCCGAGAACACGGAGCGGTTCCTGACGGGCCGCTGTCTGAGCGAGGCGTCCACCGTGAGCGGCGCACTGGAGACACTGCGGGGGGAGGTGCGACCCGAGCCGGACCCCGAGCTGGCCGACGTCAGCTACCGCGCCCGACTGGCCTCCCACCTGCTCTTCAAGGTAAGGAGAGGAGAAGAAAATAAAGAAAAGGAAAAGACCAGAAAGGAGATGAGTAGAGAGATCGGAGGATCGTTGAGGAAGGGAGCGTTTTTAAAAACGTTACCACGATGCTTGTTTTGCAGGTGATGGTCCACACGCTCGGTGACAAGGTGCCGGCTCACCTGAGGTCGGCTGGCCAGGACCTCACCCGCGACCTCATGAAGGGGACGCAGGAGTTCGAGACGGACAAGACCCTCTGGCCCGTCAACCAAGCCATACCGAAACTGGAGGCTGAGATCCAGACCTCAGGTCAGTGTTTGGGGTCAGAACCTGAGGCTTTCGGAGACAGGACGGTGACACATATCCCATCGAAACAAATACATCTACGCTCCCGCACACTCACATGCGCTGACACATGACTCCCAACCACTAAACCGCGGCCATACTATCCCCGAGATGGTAAACCTCACCTCACTGAGAAAGAAGCACAATACACCGTACCTGCAAATACAGGAAAGATTAAGGTACTCAGGGCGACATGCCAGATAGATACGGAAAATGAGATGACCGCGCAATTAATAATGCCCAATAACTTTCAGCGGTCTCGAAATAAGTAAGCACCTAACCAATCTGTTAGAATTACAAATCCAGTGCATTTCGGCGAAATACATTACGACTGATGGTGCTGGCAGGCGAAGCGGAGTACCTGGATGACCAGCATGAGGCGCCGGGAGAGCTGCACGGCTACTACGTTCTTGCCACAGTCGGAAATGCCGTCATCAGCAGCATTGACGCCTCGCAGGCACTAGTAAGCCGTGTTTGAAACTCTGTATTTGGTGATGCTGCCTTACAGTTGGGCGTATGCTATGGACGGTGATTCACGTACCTATCCACTTTACTTATTCCCAGGAAGTCTTAGTACGTTTTTGTGAGCACTCATTAGATTTTTTCAACATGAAAGTCCGCCTCAATCCTGACCACAAGACTGTTTTATGAATAGCATCATTCCTTCCTTAGATATCTTGGTTTAGTGGAGCGCTAGAACGGTATGCGCACATAAGAATACCTGACTGTCGAGCGTGGGCTCCATGTGCGATCCATTTTCATCCCGTCCAACCGAGTAATTATGGCATGTTGCCCGGGCTGTTGTTATTTCTTTGGCATGAGTAGCTCCACATTAAGAGCATGTGTCATTTTCTGACACTGTTTCCTATCCACAGGCGATGCCAGGCGTCCAGGACTTTGTCACGGCCAAAGACGTGATGGGCTCAAACGATAATGTCCTTATGGGACAATTCGTGACCTTTTTCGGGGCCCTCGGTCTGGATGGCAAGATGGTGCCCACCGATCAGGTATGGCTTCGCAAAACCTCCATTACCTGGCTCGTTGCTCCGTATAAGCTGTCGATGTGTGGACTGTGGACATATGACAAGCCTTCAAAATACGATCTGAAGTTGCAGGGATCTTCTTTTATTTTAGAAGTTGGGCAGTAAATGCACAGCGTCGAGCCCCACTGCATGAGCATTATTTCTTATATACCTACACTGATTGGTTTGATTTTAGATAGGTATCTTGTCTTTTGCGGCCAACACGAAGTTAGCCCTGATGTTACACCTCAAACTCTGTCTGCAAGTCTCGGGGCTGGTCTGAAGGAGAGGGGAAACAGCTTAGCATCGGGTGGCGCCCAACGTGGGGCTAAACTGTGATCTTCCTCGAAGGTGGATTCAACCCTGCTTACGATTTGTTTCGATTGGCAGAATCCTTGTTACTCGGTGATGACCGGTGACTTGTGTTGTCCCCTGTGACGACCGGTGACCTGTGTTGCCCCTTTGGTGACCTGTGTTGCCCCTTCGGTGACCTGTGCCACCCCTGATCTGTGCAGCTGTTTGCCGACGGCCGGGTAAGGTTCTGCGGCCAGCCGATCGGTCTGGTGGTGGCCGACAACCGGGAGGTGGCCCGACGTGCCGCCGCCCTGGTCAAGGTGCACTACTCGCAGCAGGAGCGTCCCGTGCTCACCATCAAAGAGGCGCTGATCAATCAGCCAGAGGGACGCCAGCAGACCAAACTGTGTCCAGCCAACCTGAAAATAGGAGATGCCGATGGTATGTAATACACCGGCCACAGCTGTTTCCTGGCCATGGCGAATGACCATCACGGCGTCTTATCGGTGCCACGCGTCCCCATTTCGTTGTTGACTGGTCCTCTCCCCTTCGCTCTGTCAGTGTATAGCAGGTTCAACCCAGGGGCGGCGGATTCGGGGGGGCAGGGGGGGCAGCTGCCCCCCCTGGCAAACTCGTGGGGGGGCAAAAGTATCTTTTTGCCCCCCCATAATTTGTGACAAAGTTTAGACAAGAAACCACATAGCTGATTATTCTGTTCGATCATCTGAAGATGTAACCAGATGCCCATATACTTTATCATACGTTGCCTTTCTTAAATGGCAAACGTTCGCGTTCAACTGAAGTTTCCTCTCTTCAACCTAGTTTTGGAGGCATTATAAGCGTCAACGTGACGCAGCGGCAGCCCAGGCCTTCAGTGACCGCTTACAGGGGCGACGGATACGGGGTGGCAGAGGAGGCACCGTCCCCTAAGAAACTTTTGGAGGAGGGGTAAACGTATATTCTTGCCCCTCCATAATTTGTGCCCTAAACATGAGGAAAATTTTCATAGCCTATTGCATATTTTCTATTGCATGTGGTAATTTTCATAACCATATTGCAGCTTTGCGCTCCTACAGTTTGTCCAACGGTGCCTTTTGAATATGTGTAAATGCTAACCGTTTCCGCTTTATATCATTTTTTTGTCTTTTCAGATTCGATTTAAATATATTTTAAGTGTGCGAGAGACGCAACTCATACCTTCAGTGGTCGTTTGCCGCTATTTTGTACCTACATAAATGCCAAATCGCAAGCGAGCGGAGACGCAAGGGCTAGCCATTCGCTTGCGGGTAGTTAGGACTGATGAGCGCGCATAATAAGCCACTCCCCTGATTTTTTCGAGCGCAACAGTTTCCAGCACATAAAATGGTAAACGCCGAGGTCGTACACATTGACCACATTGACCAATGCACGGTATGGTATGACACCCAAAGGCCAGTCATCAGAGATCTGCTTTGGGCATTCGGAGGCTTGTGTGGGGCCAGTGTAAAAACTGGATGTTCACAGTTCAATATCCGCTTTATTTCAGTTTTCACCATTAAAAAAGTAAAAATTAATGTTGGAAACTTTTGAGGGTTAGGGCACTAATCATTAGTGGGCCCCCCTCTGTCGTAAGGCTGGCTATAGAATAAAGAGCATCAAACACGAACAGTAGCGGCGGAACACCTTCAATTAAGGGGGGGGGGGCACTGCCGACTTTTGGTCCCATTCTTTCCATGCAACGCCCATAGGGCTAACGTTAAAATGCCAAAATCAAAAGGAGGGTGCACGGTGCCCCGGTGCCCTCCCCGTTCCGCCGCCCATGAACACGAAAGCAAAATCTAAGGCATTTTGGGAAAAAATGAGTATGCCCCGCAGCGTCCGATAACTACCACCTTCCAGTGGGTCAAGCCAACGGGGCCCAAGTCTATAATGGCACTTAACGATAGCACTAACCTTGTCTCACTTTTCCTTGAAGTCTGTTCCGAATGGTTTCGGCCACAGACTTGCTGCACTGAGGTCGTTTGATATGTGCAACTGTAATTAAAGCCACCTGAGGCGCCCTGACACCAGGCTGAAGCTGGGTTGGAAATGCTTCGTCTTTGCAGATATCATTGGCCGCTGATTCTCGAGTGCCTGAACCGGTAGATGTCATGGCAAAATTTGGTGTGATAATTTGGACCTTACCGCAGTCAGCGCACCCTAAAGCCCTAATTAAGAAACGCCCCACCCAGAGCTTCTGGATTCTCGTTCCAGTCCACCGTTCCTTCACCCCAGCCCGCCGCCGCGCTCCCTCACCTCAGCCCTCCGTTCCCAGCTTGACGAGCATTTGGGCCTTAGTTAAGCCTTGCTGTAGGCTTACTGTATAAACCCATCGAGACAGCCCGTCTCGGTGAGCTTAGTTGGCGAACTACTGCCTTGGGGAGGGTTTCTGGCGGATCGCTGTCCCAATAGGTTTAGATGCGACCGACTGTCTCTGAATGTTTGAGCGGTCTCCTCCCGCTGTGAGCTAGTTTCAGTTGATATCTGTCTCAGAAATACTTTTTAAAGAAAGTTAAACGAAAATCCAACGTAAAATGAACAGAGGAAATGGTAACGAGTTACCTCATTGAAGAGCAGCGCTCGCCTACTTCAAAAGGTTTGGCACCGTTCTTCAACATCTGATATGCGATCGGGTTATGGCACAATTTTTTCCCATTGGAGCTTTTTTCTAATACAGCAATACGAAATGCGTTACATCGTCCACTGGCGGATCCAGGGAGCGGGCATTTAAAGCAAATATTTACTCCCCTCCCCCTGCCCCTGCATCGCCCGAAATAGACAAAACGTACCTTATGTTTCCTAATAATTACATTTTTATCAGGATTTTTTTTTTTTTATACTGTTCAGCAGTAATCGAAATCGAAATCCGAGGAGTTTTTGGATTTTGGACACTTTGGGGGGTATGTCCCCCTACAGCGTCGAAAACGCCTTTCTGGATCTGCCTATGACATCATCTCGACTGGGATCTTGCCCCCCCACGCCAAAATCGAATCCGCCGCCACTGGTTCAACCATGTCGGAGCATGATAGAGTCACACTACGTGAGTGTCACAACTTAGTCAGTGTGTGATCGGTTATTACGTTGTCAGTATGTGTCCTATGCGGTCTCCAGTAAGTCAGTGACCACTATGTCAGTGCGTGACCGGTCTCGTTTTCGCCCGTTCAGTGGCGCTGGAGCAGGCTCCCCACCGGCTCAGCGGGGAGTGGGAGGTGGGCACCCAGTTCCACTTCACCATGGAGCCGCAGTCGGTGCGCGTTGTGCCCAACGAGGACGGTCAGCTGAACGTCTTCAGCGCCACGCAGACCATCAAGGATGTCGTGGACGCCGTCTCACACGCCGTCAATGTTCCCTCCAACAAGTGAGTCTCCTGGCACTGCCGTGGAGGCGACGTCAATGGACCAAAGCGTCCCCGTTGTGACCCGTCAGGGAGAGCTAATCCAGCTCCTGATTCTTGTGTTAGTTGTCGGCTGAATATGTCCACTCAACTTCACACGCCCTTTAGGGTTATTTTTTGTTAATTGATCATGTCTCCAAATTAGGTTAACCTGTATGATGGCGTTTCGAGTTCGCAAAACACTAAGGCCAGGAGCCGCTGATTTGTTGACTTATTAGCCTGAAACTTTGGGATCACTGTCGAGATCGAACACCGGACATCGAACACAGAACAGAACACGGACCAATCTCTGGACTGAGTATGACTCGATTTCAGGATTAACGGTCAGGTGCGCCGCATTGGCGGCGGATACGGTGGCAAGATCACCAACTCGCTGCCCATAGCCAGCGCGTGCGCCGTGGCCGCCGTCAAGCTGAACCGTCCCGTGCGGGTCGTGCTCGACATCGAGAATATGATCGACATGTGTGCCACCCGTCTGCCCTACCTCATCTCGTACGAGGTGAGCCACTATGTAGCGGGATATGCGAGGCTGTGTCCCCTAGCCAGCTCGGGAATCGATGGACAAGGGTGGGAACCTGCTTGACATTGGCGCAGTGAGGCAGGTCTGATATTGTCAAATTGTTGCTGTTAGCCGTGTGGTGCCACCGCATTAACATTGACAGCAGTCCAGGCAGTCGTACCGCAGATGGCAGCGGCAGAGAGCGCCCTGACATAACCTGCTGTGTCCTCAGGCTGGCTACGACGACAGCGGTCGGCTGCTGGCGCTGAAGATGCACCTGGTGATGAACTTGGGCCACTCCAACACCCTGCTCGGCTTCATTGAGGCCATGGACGTGATACAGCGAGTCAAAAACTTGTACCACGCTGAGCACTGGACGGTTACACCGGGCACGGTCACCACCAACCAGTGTCTGTACACCGCCTGCAGGGCACCAGGTAACCACACAGACCCAGGGCATATTTTAAGGCACTTACTGCGTCCCATTTTGGGACGCAGCCCCCTCGCCTTGGGACGTAACCCCTTCTGATTTGATCCACTGCGTCCCTGCCCTGTGCCCTATCCGGTTCCCTGACCTGTGCCCTGCTGTCTGCCCTGACCTGTAGGTACCCGGCCTTCCCTCTAAAATGTCCTGTGCCATGCCCTGTAGCCTGCCGTGCCCTACTTTCTGCCCTCCTCAAAGCCCTACTTTGTTCCTTGCCCTGTGCCCTTAGTCGTAGCACGTGCCCTCTGCTCAACTTTGGGACTCAGTAAAAATTTGTTAAAATATGCCCTGCACAGACCGACTGCAAGGTATCAGGTGGGTTTCTGCGCATGGACCCTTGGGAAGTGCGCAAGGCCAATTTTGCCGTTGGTGATCACTATCAGGTGACTGTGCAGTCTACAAATTGCAAGCCATCGGGTAATCAGTATCACTGTCGTCTGGTTCACCCCAAGCCAGCCTAACGCCGATGTTGTTGGGTTTCCGCAGGCAGCGTCCAGGCGATCGCAGCCATCGAGACCGTGATGAACCACATCGCCCACGAGCTGCGCATGGATCCCTGGGAAGTGCGCAAGGCCAACTTTGCCGTCGGTAATCCGAAGATACCGTGAGTGAAACTCCGACCACTGGGGTTTTCCACCAGAATGACGAGAGAATCCACATTAGCTGTGGAAAAAATGTAACGAATGTACTGATTCATGAGCACAGCTGAGATGGCCATCATGTGAAAAAACGGGCAAAAGCTCAAACAAAGAGTTTGAGTTTGAAAGTTTGAAAAGGCCGAGTCAAAGAGTTTGAAAAGGCCGACTTACACTTACGCGTAAGTGTCGTCACAACTCACAATGGCTGACGACACTTACGCGATTGTCAGCCATTGTGGGTGAATGTGGATTGCAAGTGAACCATGAGACCTTAACCCTATTCCTGGCGGGGGGGGCCTCAGGAGCCCCCCTGAGGTTTTTTGGTTATTTCTCCCAAACGCGTTGAGCTAGGAAGCTCAAATTTTCTGACTTTTCCTAAAAGGCTTCTACGCAACATGTCTGAAAATTTTGAGTTGATCTGACCTCAGGTCAGGTCACCAGAGGCGGTTTGGTGACCCTACCTCAGAAAAGTTTGCAATCACGCCAGAGCTAGAGTTTTTGACCGATCAATTTCTTCTCTTCAGGGTTTAGTTAGGGTACCAGTATGTGCAATTTGTATATCTCGGAATTTTGATATCGGTGACCTAAGGTCAGGTCAATTTCGCGACCTCCCCATTATAAGTCAATGGGGGGGAAAATCAACTCCCTGTTTTTACCACTAAAACGGGTCGGAATGGCCCCATATACCATACATGACTTCATATACGATCAACCTTCACTACCTTGAGGTCTGTTTTGCTGTTGGGCAGCTGTGAGGTCATGTGACGTCATCAAAGGTCACCAAAGGTTTTTGGCCAATAACTCCGTACAGGAACAAGATACAGACGCGTTGATGGTCTCATTGTGTTCAGCTCGTCAAGACGCATCGAATGATATACATGATGACCTCAAGGTCACGTGACCTGAGGTCAACCTTTGACCTTGACCTTTCGAGGTCAACATATATATCATTCGATGCGGATTGACGAGAGGATCACGATGATGCCCTTTAGTTTGTTCCTATCTTGACTAATTCGAAAGTTATTCGAGAAAAACTCTCTCCATATCTAGCGCCGCCATTTTGACTTTTTCGACCCCTGTGACGTCATCTTTGACCTGACCTGAAAATAACCTTTGTAAAAATTGTAGATCTTGGCCGTGCGTATCCGATGCCGTTTACCGCTTGTCGCTATCTTGCTTCGTTCTCGAGATCTCAGGGGGGGCCGAATCGGCCCCCCCCCCCGCCAGTTTCTTGTCCCGGCGGAGCCCGCCAGGAATAGGGTTAAAGTGACCCAGCATCATAGTGGTGCCTGTGGTGATCTGCCTATAATGATGAATTTAACTCACCGTGATTTGTGTCCACCTATTTTCAAGGCCAACCCCGCAGTCCGAGGACGCCAACAGGGTCGTCTCACTCATGGTGAGCGAGATGTTCGAAAAGGCCGACATCATGAAGAGAAAGGCTGACATCGACAGCTTCAACAAAGTGAGTATCCGTGGCCTTCGTACATGTTGTTCACGACCCAATCCGTCCATGTTTTTTTTTTTTGCAGTTATGCATTTGTTTTTACCGCACATCGCGTACATCGGATATGTTTTAGGGCCTTGGGATGTGCAAGATGTCAACTCCATAGCACTTGCGACTAGCGCAAGTTAGGAACTCAAAATAGCTAACTATACAAAGGATTCGTTTTGTATATTGCTTGGGTGCAAATTACCGCTGCGAGCTGACCGAAGCCGTGTCTGTCGCCGCAGTCTAACCGCTGGCGTAAGCGTGCGCTGGCCATGCTGCCCATGAACTACCACGTGGCCATGATGTCCAAGATGGTCACCCTGGTCTCCATCTACGACAAGGATGGCTCGGTGGCAGTGTCGCACGGCGGCGTGGAGATGGGTCAGGGTCTCAACACCAAGGTTAGCCCGGGTTTAGCTCGTGGATATAGGTATGTGTCTGCCCATAGCCGGTCTAAATAGATGGTAGGTATCCTGAAATTGCGTTGTGAGAATGTTTGCACAATACACACTGTGCCCCATGTTGTGCTTGACGTTGTCTTCACTGTTGCAGCGAGTGCTTGTAGCTAGACGGTATCCATTCTGTGTTAGTGTGTGTCTGTAGCCGGCGCTCTGGAACGGGTGCGGCCAGCCCAGCTGAGCTCTGTGCTGAGCGTCGCTCTGTCGGTTCCCAGGTGGCACAGGTGTGCGCCAAGGAGCTGGGCATCCCTCTTAGCACCATATCAGTGAAGCCCAACAATACGCTGGTCAACCCGAACGGCTTCGTCACGGGCGGCAGCGTGGGCAGCGAGATGTGCAGCTTGGCCGTACGGCAGGCCTGCGACCAGCTCAAGGAGCGTCTGAAGCCGTTCAGGGCGCCAGAGGGCGAGCCTGAGCGGCCCTGGCAGCAGGTTGTCCAGATGGCGTCCATGATGGGCACCAACCTCACGGCGCACACACTGTGAGTGCAGTCCTCGTAGGGTTCAGTACGCACGATCGGCTGCGTTGCACGCATATGTGTTATGTAGGGAGCCCATTAGGCTCGCCGCCTCAGACATTTATCTTATTTTTATTGTGTCTTGATTAATTAATTGTTAGGTATGCTATGTTTCTAACTTCACAGTGGACATCGGTTGTGGACCCTCTACGTCAATATAACCGCCCCTCCCCCTTTTCGCCCCGCCGGACGGCAGCCAGCCGCCCCTGGAGTCGGGGTACTCGGTGTGGGGCCTGACGGCCGCCGAGGTGGAGCTGGACGTTCTCACCGGCGAGTACCGCTTCAACCGCGTGGACGTGTACGAGGACGCCGGCCAGTCGCTGTCGCCCTGGATCGACGTCGGACAGGTGGAGGGCGCCTTCACCATGGGCATGGGCCTGTTCCTGACCGAGCAGTACCGCTACGACCCGGAGACGGGACGCAAACTGACCAACCGCGCCTGGGTGAGTACGGACCGTAAACCGACCAGCCGCGTGTGAGCGACATGCTGCTCAGATGGACTGACAGACATTCAAATATGTATGTGGATTTACCTACCAGTATCATACGGAGGAAGCCGCCCATTGTTTTGTTTGCTGCCGAGAAATATCTTGGTGCTTCTATGTGTAAAGCTTAACACCAAACACCCATATTTCAGAACTACTATCCGCCGACTCATAAGGACATGCCCAGAGACTTCCGGGTAAAGCTGCTGAAGAACAACAAGAACGACGTCGGAATCTTCAATTCCAAAGGTAAGGCCACTCCAAGGTTATATGCGTCATATTCAACAACTACTGATGAGCAATCACCTGCGTTGAAACGTTCGTTATACTTTCAAACGTTATTGTTTTCTGTTTTATATTTTCCGTTTGGGCTGCAAATTCAGCCGCTCGACTTGCTCTCGTTGCATCGAGCCCTATAAATGATCTGTCGCAAGTGCCGAGCTAAATCCTCCATCTGACATATCCCAGTGGCTAGACAGTGGACAAACTATCACTGAACCCACCGTAGCCCTGGGCTGAGCCCTCTAACTGAGCCCCTTCACCTGCCCTCAGCGACTGGCGAGCCGGCGGTGTGCATGAGCCACGCGTGCCTGCTGGCCATTCAGCAGGCAGTGGCCGAGGCGCGCCGCGACGCCGGTCTCAACGACTGGGTCACCATCAGTGAGTAACAGACTGCCGCGTCCCACCCAGTCATACTGGAGTCCCGGACCGAGGCACTGAGCCAAGCCATGCAGCCGTGATTTTGAGCGGGGATGTGGCATAAAGGTGGTTTTGCCAACCGATAAGCGGGCTGCGGGTTCCGAAGAAATAGAACGCATTGGCGGTTTTCTGAATAAGCCGGTTAGACCTCATGAGACTCTCTCATTTGAATATTCTTCTGCCACTTGTTGTCGAGAGGATTTGATGCTTGATCCACATTTGCGAAGTTCGTGTCTGGCTCTTGATAAAAGCATGTTGTGCCTACCGGGTGATCATTTTGGAATGATATAAAAAGAAAGTCGCCACGTGCAAAGAAAGGACAATATATTTTTATTTCACCTGCTGGTTTCACGTGTGTTTTGCAATAGAAAAACACAATTCTAACGAATAGTGTTTGTCTAATGAAGAAACAACGGTAGGTACAGTATTCTTGTCTAATCCCCAAATCCGTTATTGTGTTTTTCGCTATATTTGTACCCGCGTTTATTGTGCCACGTTTACCAAGCATCTGTTCGCGGCCATCTTTCAGATGCGCCCAGTACGGTGGAGTACACAGAGACCGCGTGCGAGACCAAGCCTGAGATGCTGGTCCTCTCCTAGTCGTCCGCGAGGGACCCGGAAGACCTGGACCGCGCCAGGCCGAGGGACCGGACCACGGCGAACGTACGGGTCATCTCCGATCAGGGGCCGAAAGGCTGGGACAAGAGGCCACACCAGTGATCATCCAGCGTGGCTGTTAGCCGGAGACCAGCCATTGATTTTACATTGGTTGCGTTTTCAGCCATTGAATAATTGAACGTAGTTTAGACATCGGTTTGCTGGGTATTATACTACTCGATTTCCGCTTATGCCGAAGTAGTCCAATCATTTGCGATTGATTACAGGGGTGTTAGACGCAATTCTTTGACGGGTAACTCGGTATAAAAAAAAACATGCCGAATGCCGTCGTTGTAAGGATAAGTGTAACTGGAGCGATGAAGTAAACGCTTCTTCGTTATTTGTGTAAATGCAATAGTAGGACCTGATAATATTTTTGGCCTATCTCTGGTATTGAGGGATGTTGGGCAGCGTCAGCATTCCCTCTAACAGGAAAATACAAACTCGAGTGTTTGTGTGAAGTGCACGGGGAGAATACAACGCATGGCTGACGGAGTGGTTTTAAAGTCGCTTGTCGCTATACATGTGCCGAGATCAGACTGGATCGATCACCTCACCTCCATATAGCCGAAATAAGTTTGGGTCGCCGACACAAAGCATTCCTTTAGTTCTATGGTATATGGTGGCATCCTGTTTTTTCGGTAGGTGAAGATTTTAGGTTAGTTATTGGACAAGTACAGCTGTCCAGTACATTAACCCTCGCCGGCCGAGGGGGTATGTATATGCCGATAGGGGTTTTTTTTTTTCGCGATAGCTCCCAACACGCTGGCGATAGAGCGCTGAAACTTGGCATACCTGACTTTTTATTCAAGCCGGATCTTTTGACACCAACCGCATTTTTTGGGTCAGGTCAGGTCACTGACCTATGACGTCATAAGTGAACCTCTGCACGGTCTTCAGATATCGCAACTTCGCAACGCCCTCACTACCAGAGGATATGTCACAGGGAAATGAAACTTGCAGGATCTAGTATCCATTATGAGTCTCACAACTTGTATATCTCGGATTTTTCCCTAAAGGTCATATGAGGTCAGGTCATTTTCGTGACCTCACCATTATAAGTCATTGGGAAAAATGAAAACTGCTATTCTGGCGCCTGGAACGATCTCCAACTATCTCAAGCACACATAATCGTGATTTGATGCTTTCCTTGCAAGGTTAGATGCGTCACTTTTGCAATGTTGACCTTGCGTGACGTCATTTATGACGTTATCAAGGCCATATTAGTTTTTCGCCAATAACTCTTGATCAAATTGAGCTAGCGAGTCGGGGAAGCCATCAATGGAGTCAGGAAGACCTGCCGAATCGAATGATATGCGACATGACCTCTTTCGACAACTTCGTGACCTGGGGGTGCTGACCTGACCTTGACCTGCGGTCAACACGCCAAGTTGACCTGACCCGAACAAAAAGTATATCATTCGACGCGCCTGAGCAAGGCGAACACGATGCTGCAAAATCGCGGCTCTGCGGCCGTTTTTTGCAAAGTTATTCACCAAAAACTGAACCGTACCTTGGGGCACTTGACCTGACCTCAGAGGTCACCGGTTGACCTAGGACCTTAGAAATCGGGTACCAATCTCTGCGTCTCGTAACGGCGCACACGCTCGTTTTTTCCGCGACGCGCTAGCTCCACCAGTGGCGAAACGGTGAGGGGGGTCGTACCCGCCCCCCCCCCCCCCCTCGGCCGGCGCGTATGTAGAAAACCAATAGGTCCGGCGAGGGTTAAAGGATAAATAACTAAAAGAAAATACATAATCATTGTATACAATCAACATTTTCAGCAACACCGGCTAACTAAAGAAAAGCAGACAAGTGATTTTTTCTTTTTATAGTCGCATTTAAAGCCGTATGATAGGTGACTATAACATATTCTATTAACAAAATATAACTCTTCCATTTATATTCGTTCTCCGTTGGCAAAGGACACCCGACACGTCGTCATGAAAACCAGTCAATAGCCGTTTTCACGACGGCCATCTGGTACATATTTGGTGCACATCTGGTGCAGAATAGGTGCAGATTTTGTCAAATCAGGTTCAGTGTGTCTCTTAGCAGCTATCAGCTAGGGTTGCACTAATTGCTTATATTGCCTGCTTTGTCATATTATCAGAGAGCATCATCGATTAAAACACTGAAATAAAATCATAAAGGCCGTTTTCACGACGGAATAGCAGGCATCTATTTGATACCAATATAATCCTTTGGTTCCTCAGGAATTTTAGTAGTTCTTTTTAGTAGGTTTACCAGCTTTCGAATGAATGGCGCGTTAGTTTGCTATTTTTCTATTAAATATCACATCGATTTACTTTATCTAAGGATTTATCACTAACATCAACATAAGGCGTAAGCACAATTATAAAATTATGAAATTATTAAATACTAGTACAATAGTTAAAAAAAGATACTGAGTTGCCACACTACAAAAGATATATTCATTTATGGCGCACGACAGACATTTAGAAAGCAGCGCCCTGTTTTATTGCACGCTGCTAGCCGCTTCCATTGGGTTTTGCAGGCCGACGTCATTGGTTGTTACACGTATGATGTCACGCGACTTGTGGCCTATCACAGTCGGTGACACACCAGGGAAATAAGCTAATATTAGAGCGCTCTATTTATTGCTCCCGCTACTTCACCGTCTCCCATAGGGCCCTGTGTTGAGCTGGTGTCGAGGCTCTAAAAATGACGCCGATTTTTGCACCCTTCTCACGAAAACCGCTCGGACCGCCTGGAAACTAATTGTTCCGCTTTAAAAATTTCATGGTCGACGGAAAAATGAACGAGGAAAAGATTGGTCCTGAAATAATTCTGAACTCCCTGTAGAACATATCGAAATATGGCTGCAAACTAGGAGCATGTCAAAATCGGCAAAACAATACAAATAAACTTACCGGGATTTTTTTATTTTCTATGCATCTGTGTATGAAATCAGTCGGTTTTTCGGAAAGATCATCTTCTGTTTAATAAATAATTCCACAATTGAAATCGAGAAAAAAAACATTTCTGCTGTGACAGCAGTTTTGGCATTTTGCCAGTAGTGTGGCGTGCGCGGTGCTGGGTAGTCGTCGGGACGGAGTTGTGAGTATTTTCGGTGTTTTAAATTGGTTGATGGCCATTGGAACTAGCTTTATATTATTTCCTACAAATTTTTTGCATCAAATCATGCTTTGAAAGACCATTGAAACCCCTTATCTCTTCATGAAACACGATCATATTCATCGTCGACGAAAATGGCGCGGGACTAGATGTGCGTTTCCATCGAAATAAATCGTAAATTTAATAACAATTGATGATAAATATCATATTCTAGTGACACATTTTCATAAGATAAGGCATAAACTTTGCAAGGAAGTAAACATTGGATAATTGGATTCTTATTTTGCTCACATATCCTTGTAGTAGTCAAATGGCTCAATTGTTAGATAAATGTAAGTATATGTTTTGGCTTGTTGTTTGCTGTGAAACCACCCAGCCACTTGCTGGTTGAGTGGTTTTCTGATAATTACCTGATAATCATTTCTCCTTTTCCTTAAAAGAAACTAAAATTATTTTCAAAGTAACCCATTTTTAGGAAAGGCGGCTGGCTCATTCACATTTCATGTTCTTGTTTTGTTATTGCTGGCAGTATTTGATACAAAAAAAATGCAATATGAACTTTTTGCAATAATAAAACTTAAGACAAACTTAGTTAATGCATCAAACACCCAACAGAAAGATTGCGAGTCCTTGTGACGTGAAGTAGAATATTCTATGAATGTGTTTTATAGAATATGCCAAACTTTAAATTGATTTATTATTTGATACTAATAGCTGAGCATGTGAATTATGCCACAATATAATTTCATTTTCTGGTTTTGAAATAGCCGGCAGTATTTTACTTCAACAAATGTAATATACATGGAATACATGTTATGTTATGTTAAACGTTTAATAACAGCCAACAAGAGGGGCTGTTTCAGCAGATAATGTTTGTACCTTATGCATTACCTTTCTTTTCTGCAGGACCATGCTTCCGCTGGGTGGTCAACATTTGCCTCCTGAAGAAGTTGAGCAACATGAAGACCACCAGATGAGGTGTCTGCAGTTCATGTGGAACGCTGCAGACTCAAAGTGTTATGCCAACCACAACCAAAATGCTGTGATCATGAAGGCATGAACCTCATGACAGCAATTCAGATTTGCAGTTGTACCAAAGTGTGATTCAAACCACCTGTGGCATCTCACTCAATGCGTGAACAGCGTGATCATTGTGCAGTGTTCAGCTGCAACTAAGATATTTATTAGTGACTTGTTTTGCAATTAGCCACCAAAAGCATTTTTTGGGCTGGTTGCTGTAATTTGTTGTGCACTGCGCAATAGTGGTAGTGTTTTGTCACTTGTCAAGTTGTCAGTTGTGCATGTTGCATGCAGGGGCGTCGACACCGGTCCGACTTTTCCGACTAGTCGGACCACTTTTTCGACTAGGCGGTGCCCTGCTGTGGCTCGCGGGGGCCCCTGCTGCAGACCGCGGGGGCCCTACTGCGGCTCGGGGGGCCCTGCTAGAGACCGCGGGGGCCCTGCTGCGCCTCTGGGGCCCTGCTAGACACCGCGGGGCCCTGCTGCGGCCCGCGGGGTCCCCTTTTGCGGCCGCGGGGGGCCCCTGTTGGGGCTCTCGGGGGGCCCTGCTGCGGCCACGGGGGCCTCTGCTGCGGCAACGGGGGCCCCCCGCTGCGGCTCGCGGGGGCCCTGCTGCGCCCTCGCGGGGCCCTTCGCGGGGGCCCCCCACCGGTGGGGCCCTCCGAGAAAAAGTCGGACCAGTTTTCCTTACGCGTCGACGCCCCTGGTTGCATGTTTCTCTCCCCTCGGCCTTCATTATCAGTTAAGTGGTGAATTGGCATCACTCAGTCTCCTCAGATCTCCATTGACTGTCTGTCAACCACCACCTAACTTGAGACGGTATTTGCTAATAGTGTCAGAAAAGAAGTGATTGTAGACATTTTAGGAATATGAGCTCCGTTTCATGCGTGTTCCAGTGGTCATTTTGTCACATGTCCCATAGTGTAATAAATGGAAACTGTTGTTCCCTTTTGAAGGTACTCGCGGATGCAGAAAGCGTTGGGCCTAATTATTAAACGCACCCTCCTATCAGCGACACACGAAGTCGACAAATATCATCCTTTTTAGAACAGGAGGAAACGAAAACTTGTGAACATAGCTGTACCTACAACAGTGCATAAGGCATTGAAATTCTGGGAGTTTTTGAAATTCGGAGAAACTCGAGTTGTCGACAGGTATGCCCCCTTGTAGTCAAAGACCGCCTTAAAACAAACGTCTACAAATGAAGGCAGTATTCGTATGTTCGTTGTAATTGCAGCAGCCTAGCAACATGCATTGCGGTCCGATGGCGAAATACATTCGTGCTAAAAAACTATGCCGGCAACTGCCAATGTACTTAGGTCATTGGTGAGGAGAGGAAGGGTTATGTCAACATCATAGAAATGGCTTCA